AATTCAGAAGCATTTGGAGAATTGCTGAGTACAAATTAAACTGCTCTTGGAAATTAGTGTTTCCCAGGATTTTAGCCCTTTTTTTTTTTTTTTGGAAAAGTATGACAACTAAAACTGTTAGTAATGAACCTTTGTTTACCAAAGTAGTTGACAAAATGTGGACCCTTCCACACAGACTTATATCCCAGAATATCAAGACTGAAAATCCCACATTATTTGACGTGGGATCAAATAATGTGGACCAAATGTGAGAATTTAGGTGATAGAATAAACAGAAGGACTTCTCATGCAGAAAATCCTGTTCTATCTAAAGTATCTGTTGTTCTAAGAACAAGAGAGTGGGGGAAAGGAAATGCAGTCAACTTCTCCCATGTTTGATTTTGGGCTACTTGGCTCCCTTAAGACTTTTACCTTTAGTTCACACAATTTTTTGTGTGTGCCAGGGAGTCTTAAAGGTGAAGCGTGGGTAAAGTTTTGTGTGTGTGTGTGTGTCAAGAGCAACTTGAGAAACTGCAAGTCGCTTCTCGTGTGAGAGAATTGGCCGCCTGCAGGACATTGCCCAGGGGATGTTTTACCATCCTTGTGGGAAGCTTCTGTCATGTCCCCGCATGGGGAGCTGGAGCTGACAGAGGGAGCTCATCTTCACTCTCCCCAGATTTGAACCTCTAGCCTGTCAGTCTTCAGTCCTGCCAGCAGAAGAGTTTAACCCATTGTGCTACCAGGAACTGGCTCTTTTGTGAGAAAGACTCTTTGTATTTTCGTTTAAGGCTTGAGTTACTTAGCTTGTTGTCTAAGCAAGATGGGGTGATCGGCCCCAAATTCTGGGGTCCTCCTGGTCAAGCCAATTTAGTAAAGACAGTGAACTCCCCTACTCTTATCATATGGTTTAGATTCCCACACTTGGCACTTTTTGTTGGGCCTTCTGACCAGAAATGCAGATTCCTCAAAAAAAGAGCAACTCTATAATGGGTCAAACTTTCTGAAACCATCTACTACACAGACTTCTCTTTCTTTCTCGTTCCCTTTCAGTGAGTGTGACTCTGGACCCCAGCACAGCGCATCCTAAAATGTTGGTGTCTAAGGACCTGAAGACTGCAAGATACAGTCCAAAATCCCAGGAACTAACCGAAAACCTACAGGGATTTGACTGGGAGCAATGTGTGCTGGGCTGTGAAAGATTCCTTTCCGGAAAACATTGGTGGGAGGTTGAGGTGAACATGGAGGAGAAGAGAGCACCTGAGGGACATCTGTTTGAGAATCCAGCATGGGCCATTGGAGTTGCAATAGACTTCATCAAGAGGAAGGGGCCTGTTGACTTTAACCCTAGCGACGGGATCTGGGCTGTAGGAGAATCTGTTGATGATTTATCCTCACCTGGTCAAGTCTCTGCTTTTACTTCTCCAAAGCCCACACCTCTGATCTTGAGACAAAAGCCCAAGAAGGTCCGGGTGGCCCTGGATTGTGAAGAGGGCTGGGTGGACTTTTTTGATGCAGATACTGATGAATTTATCTATACTTTCTACTTGGGAACATTAACTGGGGAGAGAATCCGACCTTTTTTCTGCACAAACA